CTCGCTGAGATGCGGCTGCTCTACCAACTGCGCCACCGTGCGGCCCTGCAAGTAACATATTAATGCATATTAGTAAGAAAATGTAACAAGGTTTAAAGCAGTTGGTAGTTGAGTGGTCCAACAGACGTGCCATGTGTCTCCTTTCTGAGTCTTCTGACTCCTATCAGCTGGATAAAAAATTATTTTGTCAGCCATTCAAAAAAAAAAAAAAAAATGCCCCCAATCTTGTATTTTTTTTAAATGACCAAAGTTTTAATTGTTTAGAATAATCTTAGGAACTACCATACCAAATTTGGTGCTTGAATCACATTTTGTACGATTCTTGTGCTAAATTGGTTTTAGTTGCTTCACTAAGATCCTTTGCGTTTACTAACTCAGACTTTTTTTTGTTTTCACTTTTTCCACAAAAAAAACAACTTTAAAGGATCAAAATTTTAAAGAGCGTTTTGACCAGTGGCGTCATGACTTCCTTAGGTAGAGAACTTTACTAAATGTCTTTTCTATGTATGTGAATGTTCCTGTAAAGGGCCCTGAGACAACTTTGTTGTGATTTGACGATATATAAATAAAATTAATTGAATTGAACTGAATGACCAGTCTGAACCGGACTGAAACTAAAGGAGCTATCGAATTTACCAAAGCATTTAAAAGACATAGACATTTACTTCTTGTTTTGTTTGTTTGCTTATTGCATTTAGAGAGAAATGCCATCTGTTTAGACTTTATAATAAACTGATCAGGCAATAAAAAAAAAAAAAAGAAAACTATTCAGAATAAACAAAAATAATCTATTTGTGATGGCAGAAATATTTTAGACTCAGGGACTACATGAAACATAAAAAAAACAACACTTTTTAAATCTATATTTCTCCACCTACTTTAAGCTTTGATATAAAATTGGTGTGCTAAAATACTCCCCCATGCCACATGCAACCCCATAGACAAAAGCTACGTATGAGAATGGCAAATTGCACATAGTTACTGATATGACAAGACTACTTCAGATAATGCTTTTAACATTTTTTAGTGCTTCAGTTTTATTGCTAATATTTTATGATATTTTAGAGCGTCTTTGAATAACAAATGTTTAATATTTGCATGATTGTGAGTAAATAAATGTACATATTTTGTTAACAATTACCTTAAAATCCATGTAAAATATGTGGTATGCAGGTGCATATATATAGTATTACCATATATATATATATATATATATATATATATATATATATATATATATATATATATATATATCACAATATAACAATGTTATTTTCTTATCAATCATTTCATGGATTCATGACACATAAGAGTGAACCATTTTAAGTCTTTATGTCTAATAAATTTGATGATTATGTCTCACAAATAATTAAAAACCTAAATGATATTCTAATTTTCTAGGATGCGCCTGTATTTGAAAGGAAACTTGGCAGTTCTGCAGAAAACAAACTCAATGATGTTCCTGTTTTCAAATGTTTTCAACAAGATAACATTTACGTTCCACCATCATCCTCTGAAGGCCGAGTCAGAAGCCTCAGTGTCTCATGTCCAGTTGTTTGTTTAGAAAATGCCATTATGATGATTTAGTCTAGTAGTAAATGATGTGACAAAAACGTCACAATTCCAAATTTATGAGTGCCTGTGAGGGTAAACATGGAAGCAGACACAAGCAGTGCATTTAAAAGAAAAACACAATCAACCTTTTTTTTTTAAATGAAGCTATCTTTGAAGCTTAGTTGGTGATTGTAAATAAGAGGAAACCTATTTATCTGCGTTTATACTGGTTCACTTCAAATGTCAAACTTTACAGGATAATTAATGTATTACTATCTGTAAAGTTTTCCCTCCATTGTGACGTGTTGTCTTTATTTTGATGACACATCCACATGATGAAGCCGCATGATCTGAAACGGAAGGCCATCCAAGAGTATTAATAAAAAAATAAGAGCATAATTAAGCTGTCGGGGTGTAGACGGGGGTGCAATTTAATCACACAGAGATTCTGCTGATGCTAAGTTCTCTCTCCCACATGTCAGACCATGCATGTTGTTTGTGTCTGTGCATGCAACATGTAAAAAACAAGAAAACAAAAAAAAGTTATTGTTGCTTTACTGGTGCTGCACACTGGAAGAGTCTTCATGCTTTAATTCGGTTTAGTGTTTCAGTTGGCATTTAATGCACAAACTGGGAAAGTGTTTTGGTTTAAGTTTACATTAAAGTGTTAAGTTCAAGTTCAAGTAGGTTTATTGTCATTTCGCCACATCTGGTACATGAGGTGGAACAAAATTATGTACAGGGTTAAAGTTTATTTAAGGGGTTAAGGTTTAATAATGGCTGTTTCCTAACAAACACCTTAAAACAATGATTTATTAAGACTTTCATTGTGCCCTGTTTGTCATTTGATGAGCTCTGAAAAAATAAAAATAAAAATAAAACACTCAATATGGCCTGAAGCAATGATTACTTTTCACTGCAACTTTACGTTGTCCATCTCATCCATGCCACAAAAATGTAGAGATCTTGAGGAAATCTACTTTAACTAATTACATTTTATCTATCAGTTTCACAACAAGCTGTAAAGTTTACAGTAAAATGCTGATATTTGCCCAAAATGCCTAAGATGTTTGCAGATGACGTGATCTGTGGTGAGAACAGGGAACAGGTGGAAGAGAGCTCAGAGAGGTAGAGGTATGCACTTGAAAGAAGAGGAATGGAAGACAGCCATAATAAGACAGAGTACGTGTGTGAATGAGAGGGAAGAGGTGGAACAGTGGTGCAACAAGGAGCAGAGGTCACAAAGGTGCTGGACTTCAAGGACTTGGGGTCCACTGTCCAGGAAAATGGGGAGTGTGATAAAGAGGTGAAGAAGAGAGTCCAGGCAGGATGGAGTGGATGGAGAAAAGTTTCAGGAGTGATTTGTGACTAAAGGGTGTCAGCAAAGGTCAAAGGAAACGTTTACAAGACAGTGGTGAGACCAGCTATGTTGTATGGTCTGGAGACAGAGACATGGACAAAAAGACAGGAGACAGAACTGGAAGTGGTGGAAATGAAGTTCAGGTTCTCCTTAGAAGTGACAAGAATGGATAAAATAAGAATGAGATCATCAGAGGTACAGCACAGGTTGAACAACTGAGGGATAAAGTTAGAGAGGACAGACTGAGATGGTTTGGACATGTCCAGAGGAGGGACAGTGGGTATACTGGTAGAAGGATGTTAGAAATGCAGCTGCCAGGAAAAAAGACAAAGAGGAGATGCAGTTAGAGAGGACATGGAGGTAGTTGGACTGAGGACAGAGTGCGATGGAGGAGGATGACTCGATGTGGAGACCCCTGAAGAGGGAAAAGCTAAAAGAAGATGTTGCCTGATTTCTTTCACTATCCTGGGGGCTTCAGTCAATAATTTGTAATCTATAATCTGTCTGACTGTAATCTGATTGTTGTGTTCACCAACATTTAGATTTTATTTCGAGCTCCGTCCATTTGCTTCAACGAGTCCAGTTCTGCAGGACGACGTGCCACGACTGAGTGGAGACAACAAGACGTCAAACAGAGAACATCTCATTTCTCATAACGCCTGTTTCTTAAGAAACTGGAAGTCCAGACCTTCCTGTTTGCCAAACGAGACATGTCACTTATGAGTCAAACAATAGTTTTTCAGTTACTTAAAAAAAAAAAAATGATAAGAGGAAACAAAACATTTGGATTATATCAGGATTCTATTTTTTAAATTGTATTATTTCTTCTTTTTATTTCCATTTAAAAAGTTAAAGCGGACTTGCAGCTGTATTTGACATCTTGTCCACCTTCTGCACAATTCTTCAGTTTAAGTTATTGGAAACTAAGGATAAAAAAATAAAACATTTAAATAAGAAACACGTTCAAAACTTCATTTAGCACAGTCTATGTTTTTGTGTATTTGTTGGTTTAAACCAAGGCCTTTCTTTGTCTATTTTTTTGAGATGTGTTGCTTTTATTTTCAAAATGTCACATGACTGAACTAAGAGCAAGCAGCACCCGAGGTTGTGTTGTGAAATATTGTCTTGCATGCAACTAAAAACTCCGTCTAAGAGAGAGCAATTCAAATAATTTAATGTTATTAAAATCACTAACATTTCAACAAGCACTTCAACACTGCAGCAAACTTTGCACTCAGAAGGTGACAATGAATAATAAATAAAACAACGTTAAAATTTAAGTTAATTCATCAAATACATTCACACCGAGTGCTTTGTAAAGCAGTACTAAGTCTTCTTATAGAAAATATTTTATCATTCTATCATGCAATGTGACGTCCTAATTCTATGTTATCATCAAACTCAGATGTTCATTGCACAAAGTCTGTCACATTTCAGGCTGTAAGGAACTGAATTTGGCCAGAGGTCCATGTGAGGAATTAAGTTTGTCATCAGTAGTTGTAAAAAACGGGAAGTTCTTGGTTTCAATAGTGCAACAGCTTAAGGCTTCACAAAAAAAATGTGCATAATTCTGCCTTTTTTTTGTTAGTACAAGTCAAAACCTATCCTGGATTTATGTTAAACATAGTAGTTTTGCCATTTTGAAAATAATCAACCTTAAAGATAATAAATATCGACGATAAATTGATATGACGTCTGCCTAAATATAGAACAAAAGAGAAACATGCATGTTTTTAAAATATAGTCTAGGTTACAAATAAATGTGCTCATGAAGAGTCCTAGAATGCCTTTTGCAACAAAAGCAGCATTCTGTGCATTTTTTTTAAACATCGTATCAGTTTCTGTTTTTCTTGGTGCTCTCGTCTGATAATTGGGCCAGCTCTGCTGCGACAGCTTATTATTGGTAAGTAGCACTTAAATGTCATAATAACATCCTCTCACACACATTTCCTCTCACATACAGAGTTAATCAAGTGTGACCGTTGCATCATACACCCTGTGTGCATGAAACACCTCTGCAAGGACGATAGGTGTATGGTTGGCTTATGCAGCTGCACATTCAGAGCAGGAATCCGTCACTCTGCTAATTCATTTAAACGTGTTCGTTTGTCCCGTCGTCCAGTGCCAGCGCATTCTATAAAGTTCCAACCATGCAGGTCCCGCTCAGCCTGCAGGAGTGTGGCGTTCTGTGGGAATCCTCTTCATCTTGTGTATGTGCTCAGGTGTGAAGACTGTGTCCGTGTGCTGTACAATTTGATCCTCCTTCGATCGTTGCGTTTCAGTTCCTCCTCCTGGAGGAGCTCAAGCTTTCCAGTTACAGGTTTGAACGTCCTCTCCTCTCTCCTCCCGACCGTGCTTTCATCCGTTCGTGGCGTCAGCAGCAAGGCTATCCAGGAGTGCTCTGTAAACGTCCGAGCGCAGGAACCGCGGGTACGAATCTCTTTCCATCAGCCCGTAAACTATCTTCTGAGCTTCGTCGAAGCAGTGCACGGTGGGAGTTTTGACGTTTCTTTTGATCTGCTCTCGAGTGTGGTAGTCAATGTTGATCTGGAATAAGGCACACGAGCAGGTATGAGGGGATTTCAGTCATACGCAGGAGATGTGAGAGTCAACATCTGAGCTGGTGATCAACATCTTTCTCTCTTTGATTCTGCGTGGTCACAATTTAAGCGAGAAATAAAGTGTGTGTGCAAACATTGTTTAGGCTCGACTTACTTCTTTAGGTGATTCTGCTTTGATGAACTGTTCATAAATCTTTTTAGCTCTTGAGGACATTCGGAATGAAGACTTAATCTTCTTGTAGTCCTCACAGGTGAGCCAGAATTCAATATTCTCGTCACTGTATTCTGATTTGAGGAAGTTGCGAAAAGTTGCCAGTCCATCTAGAAGCAACATCAAGCATGTACCAACAATTTTATATTGCTCTTCAGCTTTTTTTTTTAAATTCAAGTATTCTTTTTCTTAATTTAATTTGAGCTAACTTAATGTTCTGCTTTGGGAAATACACTTACATTTAGACTCAAGAAGCCTTTCCAGTGACTGTGACCATTGTTGGGTATCTTCTAAACTTAGCCTGCTGGGAGGGAATGCAAGAGAGGTCACTCAAACAGAATCTAATTTGAGTCAATTAATAATAACAAAACAAAAAAAAAATCTTCATAAGCTGCGAGAACACTGAGGCAGTCTAGTCATGAAAGCATTAAGATGGGCTTATCAAATTCATAGAAAAAATGTTGGACTCTGGAATAAGCTGGCATACATGTGCTGTGCCAAAGCAAACACGGAGTCTCTAGATCATTTGAATCCTTTCATGATGCCATAGATGGAAATATTCGAGCAGTTCGGCTATTTTTAAACCAAAAAAGATGCAAAACTCTTCACAAGGAACCTTACCTGTCTGGACATGATGGCTGCGTGAACATGCACTGGAGTCGACACATAAAGTTCTTTCCACTGTGTAGAAACAAGAAATGTATGAGTACACACGTTTGATTTACTTCCAGAAAATTAGTTTCCAATAAGTCTGTCAAAGGATGTAATTAGAAAATATGTGGCAGCAAAGTTTGAGGAACTGATTAAAAAAAAAAAAAACAGAAAAAAACCTAAATCATTCCTAATGTTTGTGTTTACTCATTTATTTGTGTGCTATAAGAATTAGAGCAGCGCAAAACAAAAACTTACAAATAAATCCTCCAGTGATAAATGGAAACCTCATCTGGCACCAAGTCAGCACATCTCATGTAAACCCCCATTCAGAGGATGAATACTCACATGGTCTTGTTTCTCCCACTGTCTTCTCTTTCCATGATGATGGGATGTGCGTTGGGTAGTCTCAGAATTAGGCTGGACATTGTTTTGTTAGGTCCACGGTCTCAGGCTCTCGGTCCTGGTCATGCTGTGGCTGAGAGGCACTTCAGAGGGTTCCCTTTGCGATGCAGCTTTTTATAACTAGGTTTTGCTATGGTCTGAGGCTGCTGGGATACCTCAGCAGTTCAACCCAGTCTAAAGAGGAAGCACCCCTTCCTCCTCCTCCTTCAGCTGCTTCTCTCCTCCTACTTCACAGTTAGAAACACACGCTCTCACAATGACGTCCGCACCCCCTCCTCTTGCTGCTAAACTCCCCTTAAGACTTGCTTTTTCTTTTGATGTATTCCCCTCCACTGCCTCCTGTATGTTGTATTGGCAAAACAAACGGCACCCTTTCAGACTGACAACATTCAGTTCTAACGTTATTTTTAGTGTAACAGCGCAGATGCAAATGACAGTAAGAGTGGCTGTGATAGGCAAATCTCCACCTTCTCATATGAAAAGCATAGACAAGTCTGTGGAGTGGGACTGAAACGCATCTACATTCAACAGGAGTGGCTTATTTGCTATTCAAGGATTTCAACATGCATTAAGACTAAATAAAGAAAGTTTTTAGTTGTGGAAATGTATGCAATGTAAGGCCACAGCCTCGTGTGAAAAAGAGGAAACGGCAAATTGATTGCAACAGAGGAGCTCAGCAAGGCAACAGGAAGTCGGAAACACTGGCAGGATACCACGACCTGTCTCCCATGTAAACTATGAAGCTGCTGGGTAAAACGTTCAACAAGACTTAGATATATGTGAATGCATGTGCCAGTATTAGCAGGCTCGTACATTCTTGGAGAAGAACAAACATTTCACATTTCTGCCTGTAAGTTGTACAACGCACGGAGAACTGACAGGGCCGAGGAGAAACAGCCAGGGTCTGCCAGAAATCAACCTGCACGCTGAGAACTTGTATTCTGGGCAGTGCCTTGGCAAGGGACTACTAGCTGATGTTAGCAGAAGGACTGCTGACCTTCACATTTTCTATTTGCTTCAAATCTGAGATGATCCGTCCCAGATATGCTGGCTAGCATTCACATGAATGTTTTGTTAAATGGAATGCAATGCAATGATGTGCTTCAGCATCTGATCCTGAGGTCAATGTGTGCAAAAGCTTCATCTGTGCTAAAAGTGTTGCTGTACTCAGCTTACTTTGATGCTATAAGTAGTATTTGTTACAACAGATTAAAAAAAAGTGAAAAACATTTGTAAAAATTGTGGCATTTTCTGTTGTATTTTATTGTGATGGCTTCATTCAGTTAGTTTACAAGGTGGGTTGAGAAATAGGTCTATTTTCAGTTTTCACCCAGAAAAATATACAGTGTCTTAACAGTTAGAAATACGTGTGGCTTACTCTAACAATGTTGGATCATTTCCTCAGGAACTAGCATTCTTGAACTTTGTTAGGCTTAAATCCTGTCAAAACCAACAAAATGCAAAATGTATCTTGAAGCAGCCGAGGCTCCAACCGTAGAACAGTCACGCCTCAAACATGATGAATTGTTCAGTAGTTCACTTTTTATGTTTTCATGTCTATTGAACCCCACATCACCCTAAAATACATTTAGCATTATTTAAAGTTGAGACAAGTATTCAGTAGATGTAATAGAATAAAATAGACTAGTCTTACACAGTTCAGTTTGTAGTGTGGAACTGTTTAAGTAGTCAACAGGGCAAAAATATAGCTTTATAAATGCAACGTGTTTATCAGTATCACATGGAACAAACTGCTACATGACAATAAGCACCAATTGATTATCTGGGCAATGCCACATCCTAAATGATGCTGTTGTTTTCTGATAACCACAATTTCAAGAAATGCATTAAATTAAGAGCTATTGTAGATGGGAATAATGTTAGTCCAGCAGAAATATCACTTCAACATTAAGCTAAATTTAGATCTCTGCATCCAACCCTTGCAACCTATATTTTCCTTACACCACCACATTGGCTAGAAGACAAGTCTTTCTAACTTTGATTACAACTGGCTAAAGATGATTTTATACATTTAGCTTTAAACAATAAACATGTATCCTTCTGTTCTTTGATCCCAAATGAACAAATGAAATGAACAAATACATTTGTTAATGTGAACTAAAAATATAGCTTCAAATTGACAAAATGGTTAATTAAAAAGTGTTGCGTGCATGAGAATACAGCATTAATATAGTGCCATGATTTACTACAGTATATACATTTGGCCTTGTTTTTTAATTTGGAAAATGGTAAATGGACTGTACTTACTATATATAGTACTTTCTATCCTATTAAGATACTCAAAGTGCTTTACAACACAATCTGTGCCTCATTTACCCATTCATACATCACTCTACTATATCTCTGCAGAGCTTTATCACATGCATACACCAATGTGACACACATCAGAGGCAATGAGGGGTCCAGTGTCTTGCCCAGGGACACTTTGGCACGTGACTGCTGGTGGAATCTAACCCCCAACTCTTGCATTGGAGCATGACTGCTCTAACCACTCGGCCACAGCCGCCCCAAAACATAAACTTATAATGTTTTAATGTTGCTGCTGAACTGTAGCTTTGTGAAAAACATATTAATAATAATAATTAATTGCAGATGGATAAAGAGATTTAAAAAGACCTCTTGTTCAAATGGGAAAAAACCCAAAGAACAACTGGAACATTTTTAAGCCAATTATCATTGAGTAAAACCTGCTGCCATAGGCTGCCCTGTTACAACCTGTCCTTTAGTTTGGCTTCACTGATGCTGCTTCCCTTCTTTTGCCCAAACATGGCTCTAGGTGCCGAGCTGTTACGAGGAGACCCTAAATACTGAACTGATATCATTCCCTGTCTGTTTCACCAGCTACTGTTCACTGTGAATGGATATAAGTAGTGCTTTTAAGATATTCTACCATCTTTATCAGACACATTTGTCCCAACTGTTTTTGACCAACGCTATGGACAAAACCCACTTCCTTTCGGTTGCCATGGCAACAGAGATGGGCAACGGGAAAACAGCAACAGATTGTGCGTGAAGAATGGTCCACCATGTGATGAGGGAGATTTGAGAACTTTGTGATTTAGCAGGAACAACCCCTGACACCTCAGTGCACTCAGAGTTACTGACGTAAAGCTCTGAAATAAATGGTGCTGCTCATAAATAGAAGGTCTCTTATTTGTAGTGGAAACTGCTAATCCTTTAAATCTGGAGCCAGAAATTACCCTGATGTGCCACTAATCTGCAGCAGTAAATGAAGTTGTAATATTTACAGTGGAATACTATTTCCATGTACAAATGGAGGGCTGTTTATTGCTTAATAACTTGTTTAGTGTTACTTGTAGAATAGTTTCAATTTGATATGCATGTCAACAGGAAACATGACCCACAAGGTTTTGTATGTACTGACAGTCAAAGTTTTTGTGTTTGAATGGATCTTTGTTCCACTTTACAAACATAACAAACATGAAATGCAAACCAAAGTGTCAAAGCATGAAAATTAAATGCACCATGCTTTGAAAGAAACATTGAAAAACACATTTTTTTTTGTGTGTGTAAAACATTTAAGAACACTGACAAAGTTTCTGATGTCTGTTGCAGTGCCGTTATCCGATGAATTCATTTACTTTGCTCCTTATTAAAGACGAACTATAAATGCAAGTTTTTGTTTTCACTTGCAACAGAGCACGTCTGTCTTCGTTCAAAAGATTGTTTGTGTTTGACTGTAAAGTGGAGTTTTATGGCACGTCACACAGTAAAAGTTTATTTTTATTTTTATTAAGCATTTTGCCTCATCAGGAAGACCTAAGTAGGATTTGGTTTTCAAATACTCCAGTTTTGTAAAATTGTGATTCTTCATCTAAAAATAAAATATCCCAATTGTGAAAAAACCCTGTATCAACCCACACGATGACCAGTGGCGCTCACTTTAAGTTTGACTTTAAAATAACATGTTCAAGTTACAATGATATTGGACTTGCAGAAGGAGATGAATTTTCAACCTGTCTTCAATATTTACATCTTTGTTTTCCAAATGTCATCTCATGTTGTCTTTAATCACTAAAAATGTGTTCAGTTTGAGTGAACTCAACTTGGACAAAGGACGTTTTAAAGATTGTCTTAAAATGCAGCCTTTCTTTACACATAAAGAGGACATTGAGTTTTCATTGCATGCAAACCCTACAGTTGATGTTCTGATGAAATGGAAATTAAATTATTTAACAAAGTCATGTCCTCTGGACAGATTAAAAAACGAAAAAAGTTGTTGAAATGTAATTTTTTTTTTATCCAGAAAACTTTGTCAGTCTGAGGAGTTGCATTAAACTCAGTTTTATAAATAGCACCTTCTCGTTGTGGATCAACCAGTTTGTTGATGACGGTCAGAACTAGCTGTTCTTGTTCAAAAAAGTTCAATCTGGTCCTCTGGACTTTCAAAAAAACAAAAAAAAAAAAAACAAAGCAAAAACACTTTTTTTTTTTTGAATGTCCAGAGGACCAGATTGAACTTTTTTGGATTTTTCTACCTGGATTATTGAGCATGTTCTTGTGATAAAGTAGGACCATAAGCCTAACGACTGATTGTTTGTGCCCTGATGGCTGCTAAATATTAACAGAGGGCTGAGTGATACTAGCAATAATCCAAAGTGCTGCTGCCAGAGTCTTAACTGGAGTTAATAGGACAGATCAAATCTCTCCAGTTCTATTTCGTATAGGCTTCGCCCTTTAAGAGCTGTCGCTGGGGGGTTTATCCCATCATGCAAAGCATCGCACTGAAAAAATTAGTCCACGCCCACCTGTTGTGTGGGCCCCACCCGGTCCATATAAATTACGTTAAGAGCGGGTAATCGACTCCCATTTTTCTTCAGCAAGCTAATAGCACTGTCAGAAGAACAAAGAAGGGAAGTTGTCTCCAGTTTTAGCTTCTCTCCACTGGCTTCCTGTCGAGTCCAGAATTTAATTCAAAATCTTACTTCTAACCTACAAAGCTCTCAACAACCTAGCTCCATCTTATATTACAGATCTTACTATTCCATATTTTCCTAACAGAGCACTTCACTCTCAGACTGCAGGCTTACTTGTGGTTCCTAGAGTTTCCAAAAGCAGAATGGGAGGCAGATCTTTCAGTTATCAGGCTCCTCTCTTGTGGAACCAGCTTCCAGTTTCTGTCCATAAGGCTGACACATTGTCCAGTTTTAAGACTGGGCTTAAAACTTTCAATTTTGGTAAATTCTATAGTTAATAATAATAAACTTTATTTCTATAGCACCTTCCAACAATGCCTTGCATTGACCAAGGTGCTTTACAAGATAAAACAAGATTAAAAACAGGACACAATAAACCAGTGCAAATTAAAAACACAGCCAGAATAAAAGAAGGTAAAAGAGATAAAAATAAAATAAATACTAAATACTAAAATACTAATGGTTAAACATTAAAAGCCCTTTTAAATAATTATGTTTTCAGTTTGGCTTTGAACAGAACCAGATCAGAGATGGCACACAGCTCATAGGGAAGAGTATTCCAGGCTGTTGGGCCTGCAACAGAAAAGGACCGGTCCCCCCATTGTTTGCACCTTGAGCAAGGCACCTCCAGCAGATACTGACCAGCAGACCATAAAGCTCTGCTGGGCTGGTGGACTTTCAAAAGTTCTTAAATATAGGGTGGTGCAAGGCCATTCAAAGCTTTAAAAACAAACAGCAGCAGCTTGAACTGTGTCCTAAACTGAACCGGGAGCCAGTGTAAAGAAGAAAGGACAGGAGTGATGTGTTCATATTTACGTGTGTTAGTCAACAGGCGAGCAGCAGAGTTTTGTACAAGCTGTAAACAGGAGATAGAAGATTGATTAATACCGACATATAAGGCGTTACAGTAATCAAGCCTAGAGATTACAAAGGCATGGATGGCCTTCTCCAGATCACTACGGCTACGAAGTGACTTCACTTTAGAAGTTAGCTTGTCATGCTGCTTAGACTAGCTTAGACTAGTGGAGGCCAAATTCACCTAATTTCCTTAAATGAATTGTTAAAATTTAATAGTATCATTTGATACTATTTCTATCTTAACATGTGATTCTTGACCTGCCATTGTGTATCTGTTCCTACCAAACCCAGCTGGTCGAAGCAGATGACCACTTGTCCTGAGCCTGGTTCTTCTAAAGGTTTCTTCTCATGAGTGAGTTTTTCCTTTCCACTGTCGCCTTCATGCTTGCTCAAGATGAGCGTTCTGTGATGGAGTTAAACTCAAAGCAGTCTGCTCCTCAGATAAAGAAAGTTAAATTATTATTTTTATTTATGAATGTTTATGTTCAGTGCCCTGACATGACTTATGTTGTGACTTGGCGATTTATAAATAAACTGAATTGAATTAAATAACAGCATTGTAAAAAGGCGACCGTTGAACACGGAGGCCTCCATCCCTGTTTAATGATGGATGGTTTCTTTTCACAAAGATGGCTTCCTTCACGCTGACCTGGATATGAGTGTAAACCTCAGAGTCCTGGCCTGATGATGTTGCTCCTCTGTGCTGGTCCATCCTTTTGGCCAGTGGTTGTTTAGTTTCCCCGATGTAAGACTGATCACAGCCCTCCTGACACTGAACAACATACACAATATTACTCTGTTTGTGCCGGGGGACTGGATCTTTGGCAATTTAAATTAATTATAAATGTCTTTTTTATACATGTCTTTTTCTAAATCTTTAATTGTAAATGTATAGAACATATGTTTCAAACTCAAGGTCCGGGGGCCAAATGTGGCCCTCGTTGACATCTTATCTGGCGCCCAAGATGATATGTCAAATGTAAAATATGTCTATCTCTTGAATGTTTTCAGGAATCTTTGATTATGATGTCGAAAGCACAACAGAGAACATCAAATGAGACCCATCAAACTCTTGCCGAGGAACCTGTGACCAAGAAAAAAATGTTGAGTATCTGATTTGAGTTAATATAGATTCTGAAATTGGCCCTTGGTATGAGAAAGGGTTTAATTTTGGCACCCTTCAGTAAGTGAGTTTGACACCCCTGGTATAGAACAAATCAGCATTGTGCTATAAGAGTTGTAGCTGTCATTACCTGACACAGAAATTGCTACTTTAATTAATTTTGCAGACATGGAGTTAAAACTTGACGTGGTAGTAGCTGAGGGTCGTTCAGAACATAAACCCTGAATGCGCTGTCTGGTAATATTGCATGAGACTGCGCACAGTGTTTTCAAGAACATCCAAATAAAAAGTCTACAGCTAATCCGTCATTTTTCAATTCAAGATGGTCTTAGTCTCAAACGATGAAATGAGAGGCTGTCAGCGATACATCTTCCTTCAAGGAATGCTAGGCTCTTTAATTATTTTAGTCTTTCACCAGGTTATTTTCCAAACCTTTTTATGGCAGTAAGTGTTACCCTGACAGTGTATTATGTTTTATTTTAGTGCATTTAGGTTGTGTGGAAAGTATGCCTTGTTTTAGTACATAGCTCAGCAACGCACAGAGGATAAATCCCTCTAAAAGTTCTCCAAATGTTGAATTTATATATAGATAGAAAGTCACTATACTTTGTGGTCTGACTGGCTCTTTTTTCCTAGCTTCAGTACTTATGAATTTGCCCCATCGTTGTCTCTAGGCGATGAGAATCTTCCCCTAACAAGGCAGCACATTCTGGCTGTTACGCTTCAGGTTGTCTGATGACTCCAGTGTTGTCGTTTAAGCCCCCGACTTATTTTTAGCTGCCTCAGTATTCCTTTTTAGGCTCAATTTTTAGGAATAAAGCTGTTTGCAGAGCAGAGTAAGATCAAGAGTCATAGAGAGGTTACTTTTTTTTTTTTTTTCCAGTTTGCTAAACCCTATTACTGGTTCATGGAATCATCCTTGCACCTAATTAGAGAATATCAGACATGTGACCAAAAACAGAATCCCTTTGTGAGCTGTGGAAACTCTTCCCTTTTTTGACTCATGTCTGCATTAAGACAGTCAGTTAGATAAATATAAATGAAAACAACTGGACATCCAAAATAACAGTAATATGATTATGCGGATGAGCACGATCATCTGCCAATGACAAAACGTCAGCATTACGTAAAATATCTTGTGGGACAGGATCATTGCTTATTTAAAAACAAGTTAAACCATTTCATACACCAGACTTTTCTTTTACCACCAGTTTTTTTTTTAATTGTTTTATAAAACAAGACCTCCATTTTCTTACTTTTAAGCATGTCAAAAATTCAAACAGCTTTGAACAAGTCTATCAAAAACATACACGGCATACAGCGTCATCCCACTTCTCCATACAATCTCCATTCAATCACATGCGTTTTCTTTCTCTTTACACACATTTTAACCCATCATTTACTTTCAGAAAGTGTTTAGGGCTTCACATGGCTGAAAACAGTTTATGAGTACAGAAGGGCAGTTGTCCTTCCTTAAAATGAGAACAGCACATTTTTTTATCCCTTAACAGAAGCTAAATATACCATATTGTCCTGGATTTGTGCTTCAGGCTTAGGTAGGCATCTGACTGCAGGAATCTGGGACACGAGTCTCTCAGCATCAACAGGTAAATCTGTTTCTGGGCCTCGTCAAAGCAGGAACGACTCGGCTTCTCCAAAGATTTCTGGATCTTTTCTTTAATGTGGTGGTCTACATTGATCTAAAGAATAAGAAAAAACATCAGGAAGGTTAAGATTAATCAAGCTGATCTCATATATTCAAGGTTGAATTCTTCAGGTAAAATCTGGTCAGAGTTCAATGAGACTGTTGAGAATATTGCTAATAAGTGCTGGCATCACGATATACATGTTAAAGGAAATGCAGTATGTGCATTGTTTCTTAACTTGTGGTGAACTAGGCCGAGGAAGGAAAGCCATGTGATTGGAAGGTCACCGGTTTGAATCTCCAGACCGAGAACATCAAATATGTGTGGAATTTGAACCACTCACATCTGTATCCACCCTCATTTGCCCCATTCTGGGCCCTTGAGCAAAGCTTTTTAATGCCATCTGCTCCCCTTAGTGCCCTAGATAACAACTCTCTGCTCCACACAGAGGGCTGTGGTAGCTCGGTGGTCTGTGGTTAAAAACTATCGCCAAGTCTTCATGCAGGTTAGTTTGCTGTGGCGATCCCTGAGGAAAGGAGCAACCGAAAGAATAAAAAATAAATAAAAAATAAAATCTGCTGTTTATTCACTAGGCAGCATGGTGGCACAGTTGGTAGACCTGGTTTCCTCCAGGTACTCCGGTTTTCTCCCACAGACCAAAAACATGTATGCTAGACTGATTGGTAACTCTAAATTGTCCCTTGATGTGAGTGAGAGAGTGAATGGTTGTTTGTCTCGTTTGTCTCTATGTGTCCCTGTGATGAACTGGAGACCTGTCCTGTCCCCTGCCTCTCACACAGTGACTGCTGGACATGGGCACCAGTGACCCCCGTGACCCAAAAAGGAAGAAGCAGGTAAAAGACAATGGATGGATGTTTATTCACTTGCAGTAAAATAATTAAGGTCTAAAACGTGTGTACGACTTGTGTGATTGTTAGTTTATTCTAGTCCACTATTGGTTGAAATTCATGGGCTGTGTTACATAAAAGGTCAATTCAGGAGCACTTTCGAGCAGGATGACAACCAAAAATATGGCAGGAAAGTCAATTGTGAACCACAAGTTAAAAGTTTTGATGAACTTTACCAGAAAGGTATTCAACCTGAAAGGTCAGTTTTAGCTATGAACGTATACAGTCAGTGTCAATACGTAGACATACTGTGGCAACCATCTTTGATTTAAATGTAACAACTTTTATGGAGCTTTTTGTGCTTAGATGCACCAACACAGAAATGGAAGTTGGTAGGTTGCTTATTTTTCATGTTATCATGCTCACAACATGCACGGGTGGACAGATGAACGGATGGAGGGGATTTCCTATACCGCTCTTTGTTCTGAGATGGGACAATAAATGCCACATTGCTCTACAGAGGTGGAAGTTGAGACGTTAGAAAGTAATACATGGTGCTTCCCTTATTTCTTGATCACAGGTGCCGTTTCGTGTATTTATGCAGCAATACCTCCCACTGTTCTGTAAGGTTAGTACTAAATAAATGTATTTTAAGTAAGACCAGAAATGGCAACAAAGCACTGGCTCTTTCCACCATAAACCACCAACCTTGTTTTTCCCTTCAGACTGACCTCTCTACAGGCTGAGGGGCTGATAAACTCCCCATAGATCTTCTCTGCTTTCCAGCCGAGGTCTTCAGATGAGGCTGTTGACTTAAAGTCTTCACATGCAAGCCAGAACTCGATGTTTTCCTCACTGAACTCTGACTGTAGGAATGAGCGGAATGCTGCTAAGTACTCTGTGGAAGAAAAAAAATGATATATATATTTAGATTGTTGATTGTTTAAAAGCCATCAAAATTAACGTAATAGTATATCTTGTGAAATAATTACATTTCTTACTTTTATTTTTCAATAACTTGTCCAGAGACGGGTGGCGTTTATGGTCCTGCAAGCTGTAATAATAAAAAAACATAATTTGAACTATGTATGTTCTTTTTAAGTGTAGCACATAATCACAGAAACGATTTGAAGAACAAACACTACCTGTTATTTGAGGGACTTGTCCCATTATTTACGGTTTGCCCCATGACAAATGACAGGATGTTGTTCTTTTGCTTTTTTCTACTCAGTACAATATCAACCCTGCGGAACAAAACCAGTCAAACACTGAGGAAAAAAAAAAGATTTAACATGAAAAAAACATTCAGGCTGGCTAACTTACCTTCTAGGCTGCTTTACATTTGGAAATAAATCTTTTATATCATAAAAGTGAATCTTTGAAAACAAAAGTTTGGACATTTTAACATCCCTGAATTTGTCCTTTGGGATTAACAGATGGTTGAGAGTGATTTTTCCAAATTGTATTGTTTCTTTCCCTGAGCTGCTTTTTTTTTTTTTTTAGCTTGGTAAGGAAGGTGTGACCTTTATGACGCTGTGGACCTGCTGGTACAGGTATCCAAATACCTTTTATACAAGCAAAGACCACCTCTTTCCAGACTCGGCGTCTCTTGTCGCTGACTCACATCTGTACAGTCTAGCGGGAGATCGTCTTTCACACCGGTTGTTGGAAAAAGCTTTGCGATGTGTTTTTTTTTTAAGCACACAATCTTTATTTATGTTAGCTCTCTTTTTGTATAAATTTAAAGAGAAGAGATCAGAGATATCTGTTGATGAATACCTGGACCAGAACAGTTTAAATAAAATTAGATGGAACAAGCACCTTTATTATAATTTTTTGAATCTTGGTTTTTGCTGTTTTGAACTTTCTACAAAGAGCTTGATTGTGTGTTTTGACTCATTTAGTACTTGCTCTAATAATGCCTTTCCATGTGACTTGCCATTTGCTGCAACTTGAGGTTCAGTATGTTTAATTTAAAATGTATTGTTGAGGCCTGGAGGCATTAGCTTGAGTGATGGCTTCTCAAAAATGTCAAAATATTGACTGAGGGATACTGTAAATAGGCAAGAATGATATATTATAGTAACAACTTACCAACCTATGTATGGAAACTAAAGGACTGTTTTAATTATATTTCACAAATGGGAAATTAAAATTCATTTTCTATTCTGTTCTCCGTATATTTGGGGGAGTTCTGCTCTGTCAGCTCTTTGCAGCCACATAAGAGCACCAATAAACTGCACTAGAGGATCATCGTCTTGATGAACAAGAAGAGCATTAAAGGCTGTAGAGGACATCCAGTCAACGCTGGAGCATTACCTGCCAATGGTAGTTGTGTTTCTGGTCCTGTACTCGTGACTGAGATTAATTATAACATATCTTGTGTTCCTTCATAATTACAGCATTATCTCTGCCACCCACCTGTTTCTGGGATTTCTTCTGTGAACCTCAAGCTCTCTTGTGCCTCCTCACCTGCCTCGTCGCCTTCCTACCTACTTGGAAATATTACGGGATGTTTTCCGTCCATGCACTGGAACCATTGGATCACCTGTCCCTATGATTGACTCCAGTCCCTAGCGTAAGGAAGATTAGCAAAAACATTATCACCCCTGCAGATATCCTATTAACCTGTCTCCTTACTCCTCAGGGTTCCAGCCCTTCCTATGTATGTTTGACAACATTCATTACCTTTTACTGTTTTAGATTTAGTAATGCCTGACTTGACAAAAGTGAGTTTTAGGATTCATGCACAACACCAGTCAACAGGAATGGTTAAAAAGATTTATTGATATATCACGGTTGGTGTACGTCTGGGTCAGAGAACAGGTCCAATCTGCAGAAACAGGGGTGGCTTCACTGTGAAGGTTCAGAATTTTACAGAAGCAGTTACTAACCTTCACAGTCAGGTAAGGGAGGAACTCCTTCAGGGAGTTGGAGATGCTGACGTCATACAGCGTGAGTGAGTTACAGCAAAGAGAGAGGCTTATTCAGAGCATCGTTTTAAGGCACGTTCAAGGGCGAAGTTCAGTAGAGCAGGCAGGGGTCAAGAATCGTTGGTCAGAGATCCAAAACCAAATCCAAATTGTGATCCATGAGTCGTGATAATATGAAGCAGAGTCGGTACCATAGTCAGAGACGTTAATCCAATGCAGACAAGGAGCAGGCAAAGCGGGGAATCCAAAAGGCAGGCGTGAGGTCAAGACAAGGCAGGTAAACAAGACTATGGAGCGAGCGCTGGACATCTACTATCAGAGTAAGTTCAATAATCTGGCAAGGAAGGAGTTGGGGCTTAAGTAGGGCAGGAAACAGATAAAAGGCATGATCGTTGATTGAGGTGCATGAACAGAGTGGGCGTGTTTGGATGACGGGAACCGACCAGAAACGTGACAGGAGCAGGGAAAACAAAACATGATGACAAGAAACATGACATGAGGGGCCGAAATGTGACATGAATTAAAAAAAATATATATACAAAAAGAGATAATCTTTTCTGCACTTAAGAAAATGAAGTAACTTGGCAACTAATTAGATCCTATGTTGAATTGTTAGTTTGAACAAGACTAATTTGCATTAACAAACAAAACATGTTAACATTTGAGGTGGAAGAACTGTTCGAGCAATAAATACTGTATACAAACAAACGTTTATTTCCACATTAAGTGCATTATGAGTGAGTCCTTTTAGGAAATTGAAACCAGTTGAGCCATTTGCTCATGAATTCCTATAAATGAAAGTTAAAAACTGTCCTGGACATACTTTAAAAGATGCCCTGTTGTGAAAAGGTCCCACATTCAATGCTGTGGTCCAATGCTTCAATGCACTTAAATGTATGTAGTTTCTGTCAGCTTTATGTAAATCTGAACAACAAACTTCCTCTTACTTTGCACCATACGGCACAACACAAGGACATTTTATATTCTAGTGAATAAGAGCGTTATTGGATGGGTGGGTTTGTGTGTGTAGGTGAATTTGTGTAGCTTTTCAAGATCCCCATGAGGGTATTAATATGAGTGAGGGCTTGTGGTGAGGAGAATGCTGAAGTGGGCATATTTCAAACTTCCCCCTGAATGATGGAAGCTGTGGTGGTTGCACGTGCAACACTGTGGAGGCAACTTTTGAGTGGCCAACACCCTTAACATTGCATACTTGACTGAACTGTACTTTTACTCAAGAACGTGGGAAAGTCAGAGGATGCAAATATTTTGGTTACAAACCTGACCATGGTAAGACAGAGGAGTTTGTGAAAAGTCAGGGTGAATAAAGATGTTCATTACATTTTTTTCATACATGTAAAACATGTACAGCATTCTTTTTCATGCTCAATAATCCAGGTAGAAAAAAAAAAAAAAACAACAAAGTTAAGTCAGGTCCTCTGGGCGGATTCTTTTTTTGTTTTAAACATTTCGACTTGCATCCAAAAGACCATCAGTCAGAGGAGCCACAAACAAACTCACTCTTATAAATGGCACCTTCTCATAGTGGGTCATCAAGTTCAATGGTGCTCAGATGATTTTTGGAGTCTGCCCTCTTCTCCACCAACGCGTTAGAGGCAGTCATGGCCAAAGTGGTTCAAAACATACATGGAACATGAAACAAACGTTTCAACAAAAAGAAACCATCCAGAGGACCTGACTTAACTTTCTTGGATTATATGTAAAACATTTTGTTTTATTGTCTTTATCATTATTATTGTAAGTTTGTTTAAAAAAAAATGCAACCTCAGTCAATCTAGTTGTTATTTAGACCAGTATGTATTTATTAAAATATAAGAAAAAAATTCTGGTAAATATTTTTACTGATCTAAAAAAGACAGCAGACCCTGCCACTGAGTGTATGTACAATAAACTGAAAACAGAGTGCCATTCATGAAGACAGATATCGAGTCATTTATTCTACTCTAAATAATTTTTACCATATTCAAAAAAAAACAAAAAAACATCTCCCTAGAAACTGAAAGCTATTCATTCAATTTATACACAGTGTCAGAAATATAATATACTCATTATCCACATCAGTCAGACTGTGAAGATGATAAAGTCACATGCTGCCAGATGTCATTTTACAATCCAAAACTGACAGTTGCTCAGTAAGTATAGAATAGGTATATTTCAAATAATAATAATAAAAAAAATAAGAATAATCAAGTCTAATCAACTGTTCAATACAACAGAACATGAAATTACATAATGATGTTTAGTTTTATAACGTGTTGAATTCTTATTTTTATATTATATTAACATAGTTCATTACACACAAAGTTTAAATTATGATGAAATTTAAGGTAAGTTGGAAACATGAATTAAATTGTCTTAAAAAGCAAAGAGAAAACATATTTAACTGAGATGCAATACATTTATATTTAAAACAGGGCACATCACACCTAGGGACAATTTAGAGTTACCAATCAGCCTAACATGCATGTTTTTGGTCTGTGGGAGGAAACCCGAGTACCCGGAGAAAACCCACGCATAAACTGAGATAAGATGCAAACTCCACCCAGAAAGGCCTCCGGACCAGGATTTGAACCGGGGACCTGCTCGCTAAGAGGCAGCAGCTCTAAAAGTTGCGCCACCGTGCTGCTCCAAAGAAACATTAAAGAAAAAAACTAAAGAAGAAGAAGCAATAAATAAATAAAAACATAATAATAATAATATCTATATCTATCTATCTA